ACACATATGTTGTAATGGTTCTGTCATTATTTAAATTTTAGTGACCTGGTTATACATGTATGCACCATGCAGAACATTGGAACAATAGTTACTTGCTAGGATGGTCTTCAAATATTTGATTACTCTAAATTTGAATTTGTCCGGAATTGGAGAAGACAACTGGTTATTTGATCAATTTAATGATGAGATAAAAGTAATTTAATTTATTAAGCCATCGATAAAACACTACACTTGCATGGTTAATGTGTTGGGTGAAGCAGAGCTATTGGAAAAAGCCGAAGCAATGATAAAAGAACATAAGAGTGGAAAAAGCCACTATTATATGGATCTCTTTTCTTTCTATTTGCAGGAAAAAACGGTAATATTGATATGGTTGAATGAGTAGTAAAGTGTTTGATAAAGTTGGATCTAGATGAAACTTGTGCTTATGTGCACATATTTAATGCTTGTTATTTATGGAGGGTTGAACATATGGTTTTATGAAGAAAACACAAGTGAAGAAGGACGTACAGTGCAGCTCGATGGGGGTAGATTCTCAGAACATCAACAACAAATTCAATGTCAAGTATTATCTAAATCTTGTGCTGGTGGACGAAGAGGATCGTTGTTACTTCAAACAGCAAGAAATGGCGTTGTACATGTTTAAGGAAGAGACATTTGAATGTTTACAGAAAGAAAATAACAAATGAGAAATAATCAATATAAAAATTATAAAATACATAATGATTGATTTAAACTGTTAAAACACTAAATTATATGTTAATTTGGCCATTTTCACAAAATTCATATAAACAAGATAACGAAACTAATTTAGTTTTTAATTAATTTTTTATTCAGTTTGTTACCAACTTACATGTATTTTGATATTGAAAAAAAAACTAAATTTAAATAGTTTTAAATTTAAAGTCAACATAAATAATACAAAAAATTGTAAATCTTACAATATTAAAAGCTCTAAATAAGAGCATATGAAGGGTGCCACCTCTGCAAAAATAATTGTCCAATAAAATGTCTTTATTTGAACACGTCAGCATGACTTTGGGTAATATTGGACTTAATTTTTTTTAATCTGAATTGTTGGAAGAGATGGCTCATTCAATAAACCAAACTACGGAAGTTCTTCATCTTTGTTCGTCGTTTCCTCTCCTCTTCTTTTCCTCCAAACCAATGTTGATCAATCACACTACTCCACCCCTCTGCAATCAAACCTCTCAATATCTCACTTATGGGTTCTTTTCATCTTTCTCCCTCTGTATTTGTTTATAACTTCCTCTTTCAAAAAGATTTATTACAACTCTATCAAACTCCTATTGCGATGATTGGGATGCAAAAAATCTGAAGAAAGTCGGTGAGCTTCTGAGGTGGACTTGGGTTATCTTGACAAAAAGGTATCGATCGTTTGTCTTCTTTTTTTTTAATTAGTTTTAGATAGTTTTGATTATAGAGGTGATGGAGCTGACTGTGAACAGATTATCTCTTATATATACTTCTTCTTCAACACGATTGAGTTTTTTTGGGGTAATAGATCTCTTTCTGTTGTAGAGGTGTAGGGGTCACAAGATTGAGTTTTGAAGGTATGTGGTGATTAATCGCGGTTTTGTTAAGATCAGATTTATTTTTTCGTTTGAAAAGCTGTGGCTTTTTAGTTCTCATGTTGATTCATTTGATCATGTCTGGCTCTCTGGTTCTAATTTCTGATGTGAGTCCATGGCTTCTTACAAAAAAATACTTACTTTTTGTTTCTATAAGGTTGGAGTGAGGTACCTATTGCTACAAGGTGTCAAAATACATGATTCTCATGTACGCTTCTTAGAATGAAAACGTGAAGAAGTATCAGCATGCCGTAAGTGGTGAGATTTATCTCATACTACGAGATTATGAGCTTTATAAAGAAGGCAAAAAGGTATACATGTAGGACTAATTTTGGTTGATATTACAATAACAAATCATTTTTTACGAACGTTGGGAACCTTCATGCTTCAGGACAGAAGCAGCTGACATTTCCTCACCAAGTATATCTATAATTCTCAGCCATCATTCTATGTTGAGACTAGATATTAAAGATAACAACCAATTGTTGTAGGTGGTTGCGCTTTTTGAAGCTCCATAGCAAATGTTAGAATGATATTTCCAGCTGATGTTATTGCAAGAGCTAAACATTATCCTTTCTTGAATTCAGGTCACTTGGGTATTACATTCACTAAACTCATCAGTTAGCCGGCTATCTGCATATAGATGTAGTGTGGAAAGATCTGAAATTTTTTAATATTGTAAGATTGCCACTGCAGATGGAATAGATGACTATACTTGCTTCGGATCTTGCCATTATAGCTACAAAAGAGAATTTCATGCTTGGTAGATGTGAAGAAATGTTGGCATCAACCGTAGCCATGGAGGTAGCAAATCAAACAAAGACACTAAGATATTTATATTATATGTTTTAACAAGTTAACTGAGTTTGTCATTGTCTGAATCCAGATCGAAGAGAGTAGCCTCATGACTGATTTAATGCAAAAGAAGCAAGAAGAAGAAGAGATGATACAAAGTCTCCATTGTTGCCATTAAGCGAGTTTCCACAGCCAACACTTAACAATGACTTGTAAATTGCTCTTTTGGCTGCCATTTTCTTCTGCCACCATCCTTTCTCCATTTTGTCTTTAACTTGTAGGAAAAGGATGCGAAATAAATGGTCTAAAGAAAATCAATGAAAATTTATATTTATAAAAATTTGCAAACTAACCTTAATTTATAAACAAGCTACTGATAACAAATTCATGCTAAAGCACATGATGCATTATGATTGGTAATTCATAGTATCTTATAAATTTTAAGATCTGAGATTAACTACATGGTTGTTCTTTGTCGCTTATAAATTTTAAGGTGTGAGATTAATATGTAGTTGTTCATTGTCTCTTATAAATTTTAAGGTGTGAGATTAATATGTAGTGTACATCTTAAATAGGATAAAAATTAATATTGTTTTCTTACAATGTGTGAAAATTAAAAGAAACATAAATAATTGTGGGCTTATATATAATATGTAGATAAAATTGTTGTAAAACAATTATGAATCTCAATATTATCTAAATGTATGCATTTTTCATAATTTCAATTATTGTTTTTATGTTTTGGTCCCAATTGTCTAAACTACCGCATTCCAAAAAGAAATGTTTATATTTACATGAGCTATATTTACCCTTAATTTTAAAAAATTAAATAAATATTTATAATCATAGAATTAACTAATCTAGACTTAGAGTTTAGATTTGACGAATATTGTTTTGAAAGATGAGGTATAGGACTTTAATAAATATATAAATAAATACTTACCTTTTTTAAAAAAATAATTAAAAATAGTTTTAAAAAATTGAATTTGATAATGAAAATTTGAAAAACCGAAAAAAATGAAAATTTAAAATAAATAAATTTTGAAACAAAATTATAAAAAGTTCTAATTTGAAAATGTATAATTGAATAACTATATAATAAAAAAACTCAACATTACACCAAATACTAAATATGCAGAATACATGGCAAAGAAAAAGAACAACATGTGTTTCTCATTCTTTGGTGTGTTAGTTATGGTGATAATTTTCTAGAGTTTAAATCTTAATCCTATTTTAAATAACATAAAATAAGTGGCAGAAGAGAAAAAAAAATCATATTCCAAATAATTAAGTGAAAATCCTATAAAAATACTTCAACTAAAATTCCTCACGATTTTGAATACCCAAACTTATTTGATATCGGTTTAATATTTCAACTAATTATTCTACTCATTTTAATATATGTGCTCATTTTATTACCCAACCTATGCTCATTTTAATCAAAAATTTAAATAAATTTCAAACAAAACTTTAAAAACTTTGAAATAAAAATAAATTAGAAAATTTTCATATTTAATTTCAATTTTAGGAATAAAGTAACTAAGTTGTGGATAAAATATTAAAATTTAGAAATTATTTAAATTAATTAATTAATTAATTTTAAAGTTCAGAAAGAAAACTAAATTTTAAATGTACACTACAACTAAGAGTATAGTTTTAAATATTATCCACAGTTTAGATACTTTATTCCTATAACTTAAAATAAAAATAGAAATTTTAAAACTGATTTTGATCATTTTTGAAGATTTTTTAAATATTCATTTGAACTTCTAAATAATTTGGATATTAATATGAGTACAGTTTTAAGATTAAGGGTATTAAATGAATAAATAATTAATTTATGTATGAAATTGGATAAAAAATTTAGGTATTAAAAATCTTAATGATATTTAGTTAATGTATTTTTATGGATTTTTTTTCAATAATAAATTAATAAAAATACATATAATTTATTAAATTAAATATAAATTCAAACAATTCAATTGTGACATAATAGTATAAAAACAGTTTAAAATGAAATATTAAAATACATAATCTGCGCATAGCGCGGAGAAAGGATCTAGTTTATCTAATAACTTATGTAGGATGTTCAGTATAAGTGTAAAACGTATAGTTAAATATATTCTATAATAAACTAAATTAATATAGGTAAAAAACTCGGGCGTAACCCGAAAAAATCTCCAATACTAATAAAAATTTAATCAGTTTGATAAGCACATTTATGTAAATTATTTTCACAATATAAATTTAAAAATGTTTTGTACTTCGTACGCAACCTAAATAGCTTAAACAAACATTAAACGTAGTATCTATAAAAACAAATAATACAGGAGAACAGTTTATTGTATAGAAAGGAATATGGTAAATGCAAGTGCAAGTCCAACTACGAAGATACAACACTCTCTCTAATGGAATAATTGATGTATCTACCGATGGACCCAAAAGCATACACAAAAACTACTCTTTTTTCTCATTTTTATTAATTGTTTTTTCACACACACACCAACTTATTTATTTATAATTTTATTTTGTTATTTTCAGCCTTTCACTTGGCCATTATTAACGTGTACTCTCGAAATTCCACAAACCAAATAAAGTTATAATCAAAGAACGATGCTTCCATTCCCCAGCTACTACGTTTCAACACCAATTATGTCCGAGAAGAACATAAGCAGCAGCAACAGTAAGAGAAGAAAGACGAGATGGCCACCGACAGTCTCATCTGGAGGAGGAGGAGATGAGCTAGCGACGGTGAAAGCTGCGGCGTGGGCTTGGTACCAAAGAAACGAAGGAAAACCAATGATTAGAGAATTTGATATCACGACAAGAGCCACAAGAACACCTCGACCTTCTAGGTACAAGCTCGAAGCCAGCAAGAACATGATTTTATCCGAGAATAGGGTTTCTAAATTCGACACTAGTCATTTGTCGCGTGAAGATCAAGAAACCAAGTTCTCTAGTCTTCTTGACCCTTATGAGATCATGAGCATCTGTAAAAGGATTGACGAGGGATCGTTACCCGCCAATCCGACTAGTAGTTTCCGGAATGACCATGGTTTGCTGCAGAATAAGCTAGAAGATGATCATAGTAAGAAGGCGAATCAGGTTGTAACAAAAATGAGCATGAAAAACTTGTGGAAAGGAAGGATTCTGATGGCGGCTCCAAGGACAGTTTGTGGAAGAAGTGATGACGTGGATCTTGATGCTTATCGAACTCGCCCAAGAACATTAAAGGTAGCACCCACGAGTGTCAAGACGCGAACCGTCCGTCGTTAAACTAGTCTCTAGTTATTGTGTCTGGATATTTACATGTTATAAAGGTCTTCTTTTAAATACAACACTAGATTTTATAGAGTATGTATTAATAATCTAGTTTAGAAATTATAATAGTTTTAAATTATAAAACATAATTAATTTATATGATTTTTTAATTCTTTGAAATGTATTTAAGATAGTATTGTACGTTTTTCACATATGTTTGTCTATTAAGTATACTTTTTAAATTAAAACTTCTTAACTATCTAGTGTTTGTAATTATAGATGTATAAATTGTGTTTATAAACATATTTATATTGTATTTTTTTTTGTCAACGAAAGGCTGATCTATTCCTCAACCTTGAGGTGGTCTGGGAATCCAGACCGGAGTAGAACACCCAACATACATGAGCTCACGATAAAAAGATCGGGCAGTCTTAGCTAAATGATCGGACACAGCATTAAGAGATCTAGGTATATAAGTGATCTTGAAATGTGGAAAACAAATCCTTAGCGTTGAGATCCTCTCCAGTTCCGTCGAAAAGCTTGGCCATCCATGGGGATCCGTGAGCATTGCTACCAATTCCTTACAGTCCGTCTCAAAGCTCTGACATGGCGAATGTTGAAGCATGTTCTCCATTGCCCACCGCAGTGCTTCCAGCTCAGAGTGCAAAGCCGACTCCACTCTACTCACATTACGCATCCCCGTCAGCTGAATATTTCCCCTGCTATCTTTCCAATCCCAACCGCATCCGGAGAATTGATCTATAGAGGTCCAAGAACCATCTATCATGCAGATATCTCGTAGACTTATGGCCTGACGTTCCGTATCATCGGTCTTTTGTGCACTCACACCTTCCTGCTCATTAGCTTGAACCAGGCAAGACACTCACTCTCTGCATATCGGGCCAATTCTAAAGGGTCTCTATCTATTCCTCTGAACAACTTATCATTCCGAGCCTTCCAAATGTACCATATTAACCAAGGATAAGGATCCCTGTCTAATTCTGGCCCACAAATGACCTTCTTTCGCCAGAATAGATAGTCCATATTCACATATGTGCTCTCCAAAGGGAACAAAGTCGGACTGGTAGGTATAGATGCTAAGACCATCTCCAATGGGGGTTCTATCCCATTGGAGATGGTCTAAGGCCCATACCTGTGAGGCCGGTGGACATTGAAAAATCGCATGTGCAATTGTCTCCTCTGGTTCTCCGCATCGTGGGCAGTAGTTATCGCATCTCATGTGTCTATGATTTAGCGCACTCGTAACAGCCAACTGCCCCGATATAACCTGCCACATAAGATGGCTCATCTTCGGGGGTGCCTTGACCTTCCATACCTGTGCTTGAAGCCTTTTAATGCTAGGTTCGTCCACCAGATTATCTTCCTCCTTAATTAATATATTTCGAGCTACCCAATAACCGGACTTAACAGTGTCTTGCCCGCTCCTTGTGTAACTCCAACAATGTGTGTCTCTGCGATGGGTTGAGCTAATTGACATACTCCTTATGAGAGGTATGTCTGCAGCGTCAACATAGTTTGCCAGACTCTCCAGATCCCAAGACTTTGTTTCTTGATCGATAAGATCACTCACTCTCATGTTCGGATGCAGAGCCGGGGCAGTTGCATTTGCTGATCTCGCTGGGATTGTGGGAATCCATGGGTCTTCCCATACCTTTACTTCGTAACCTGAATGGATTTTCTGTCTAACCCCCAATAGCAATATGTCACGTGCAGCCGAGATGCTTGTCCACACATATGATGGGCTGCTAACAGTGAGCTTTCGCAAAGGCGAGCTAAAACGATAATACCGCCCCCTCATAACTCGAGCTACCAAGAAGTCTAGATTTTAGGCCAATCTCCACAACTGTTTTGCTAGTAACGCCAGGTTAAACTCATGGATCATCCTGAATCCAATTCCTCCTTCCTCTTTGGATAGACATAACTTATCCCATGTTGTCCAATGTAAACCTCTCTTTGGTAGGTTTGAGCTCCACCAAAACTGTGCAATGGCACTAGCCAAGGCATCACATATCTCCAAAGGAAGCATAAAGCAGGACATAACATAAGTTGGGAGAGCTAACATGATAGACTTGATCATTACTTCCTTTCCGCCTCTAGATAACCACCTACCCGTCCATCCATTCACTCTATGCCGAAGTTTGTCTTTTAATAATGCAAACATTTACATTTTGAGCCACTGATATCCTCAGGTATCCCTAGGTAGTCCCCATTCATGCGTCATTTTGGATCCCAAGTGTATCTTTGATCTCCTGTCTGGCCTCTTGACCGATCCTCTTACCCAAGAGTAGAGAAGACTTGTCAAAATTAATGCATTGTCCAGAGACTTGTCCATATTTCCTAACCACTTTCATTACTTCTTCACACTCACGGGGCTCCGCCTTACAAAAGAAAAGGCTATCATCAGCAAAAGGCAGGTGGAATATCGATGGACACGCATGCGTGATGCGCATCCCCGTTATCTTTCCCTGACTCTCTGCGTGATTAAGAAGGCTAACGAGCGGTTCCGTGCATAGAATAAAAATGAAAGGGGACAAAGGATCCCCCTGACGTAAACCTCTTTCCGGGACAATGTTCCCTCTTGGCTGTCCATTCATGAGTACCTTGTACTTCACTGTTGTTACACAACGCATAATCTAGGAAATCCAGACTTCTGAGAATCCCATCTTCCTCATGGTGGCTTCAATGAAAGACCATTCCATCCGATCATACGCCTTACTCATGTCTGTTTTAATGGCCATCCTCTTATTGCGCCCACTTGGTTTTGTTCTTAAGGCATGGAACAACTCTTGGGCTATCATTATATTATCTGATATATGTCTCCCAGCAACAAAGGCTGACTGAGTTTCACAAATCCTATCTGGAAGGACCTTTTTTAGTCTTTGGCATAAGACCTTGGATATAATTTTGTAACAAACATTACAAAGACTAATAGGCCGTAATTGGCTCATCTGGTTTGGCTTGTCAACTTTCGGGATAAGGAAAATATTAGTATCATTGAGACCAGTCGGGATGCTCCCTTGGAACAAGAATTCATTAACCATACGAGTTAAATCATCCTTAACGATATCCCAGAAGTTTTGATAGAACAAAGCCGTCATTCCGTCATTCCGTCAGGTCCAGGAGCTTTCTCAGGGTGCATAGCAAAAAGAGCTAATTTAACTTCTCACTCTGTGACCGGGGCTGTAAGACCCTCATTATCTGCAGGCGTAATTGTAGTGCTAACTTCTGAGAGTGCCTCCTCAATCTCCTCAGGGTTCGATGATTGGAAGATTTGGCGGAAATAACTAGTAGCAATGGCTACCAGGCCTTCCTCATCCTCTACAACGTTCCCATCTGCATCTAATAGTTGGGTTATCCTATTCCTTGCTCTTCGCTGCTTCGTCAGAGCATGAAAAAACTTAGTATTCCGATCTCCCTCCCTTAACCAGAATATCCTGCACTTCTGCTTCCAAAATAATTCCTCCGCCTTAAGGGCATCAGACAATTCTTTTAATGCCGCCGATATCTCCTATGTAGTGGCATCATCATTGGAAGATAAACGATCCACCCTTTCCTTTAGCTCCTCTACAGTTTTCTCTGAATTCAGGTTATGTTGTCTCTTCCAATCACATAACGCACGCCTACAGCTTGTAATATGCTCCATAATACTTGCACCCGGTGGCAGATCTGGTGATTTCCATCCTTCAAGAATAATCTGTCTGAGTTCCTCATTCTGAAGCCATCGCTTATCAAATTTAAAGTTTTTCGATCTCCGTGGCTTCTTTTTAAGAATGTCTGCCAGGATTGGACGATGATCCGAACCCCAACGCCTTAGATACTGCACTTTGGAATGAGGAAATTTCTCATGCCAATTCTCATTACCCACAGCTCTATCAAGACGACATCTTACAGTAGTATTTCCTGCTCTTCTTCCTACCCATGAAAACATGTTTCCTGTGAACGGAAACTCCAACATACCACAGTCACTGAGCATCAGCTTGAAGGGCAAAAAAGAATTATCCGTACGTTTTCTGCCGCCTTCCTTTTCTTCATGACAAGTAATTTCATTAAAATCACCAATCATAAACCAAGGTCCATTTCTTGTTGTTGAGAAACGCGTAAGACGTGCCCATACTAATTCTCTCCGTTCTACTACAGGATCCCCATAAACAAATGTCATATAGACTTTTATTCCATCAATGACTGCCTCAATGTCAATCATTCTGTTATTAGAAAATAAAATCTTAACTTGAAAATCATCCATAAAAAATAAAGCTAAACCACCGCTAAGACCACGTGGCTCAACGGTAAACAAACGGTCGTATCCTAAGTCGGCCTGAATGTCTTGCAACAGCAGCCTCCTGTTCTTAGTTTCAGAAAGGAACACTAGTCCTGGGCGATGCTTCTGACACATCTCCGTAAGGCGTCGAACTGTGAGGTCAGTCACAATCCCTCGACAGTTCCAACTGAGTGTCCTCATGGATACAAATGGAGTGGGTTTTTGGATCCCACTGAACCACTTGTTTTATTTGTCTTAGACCGACCCTCCCTAGCATTATGGCTATGGTGTTTTGGTTTAGGCTTTCCACCAGTGGACTTCTGAGAAGTAGAGCTTAGACCTCGTAGCCGTGGAGATCCCCGACGAAGGACCTCTTTCTTCCTAGGTGTACGCCTGTTCCCATTCTTTACTCCCTTCGAGCTTCTTGAGGTACCACCCTTCTCAGTTTGGCGTGAGGAAGGTTGTGGTACTGATGCCTCTAACTCCAAGAGTTCGTCATCAAACAGATCATCGTCCGTCTCCATTCTATCTTCATCCTCATGTGATAAAGGTCCCATCTCAGATAAAGCGTCAATGACTCGGGCATCCTCATCCTCAGGTTCAGCTGAAACAGTATGAGACGTCAAGGAACGCATCACACTTCTAGGACGAACAGTCACATTATCCTGCATGTTTGGAGATGTGATCTTACTGGCAAGCCGTTTCTTCTGTGGATTCACCAATACCGCTGGGGACT